ATAATAATAATTAAAAAACTGCATATTCCTATCTTTCACTGTTGAAAACTGTTTACGTGCTCAAAATTTTTTTTTCTTGTTCCTACTCTTTCTTCACTCAATAGAAGATTTTACAGCTTGCCTTGATGTGTACCCATTGCCATTATCAATTGTGACTCATAGAGACCCTCCATCAGAGAGCCATCTGAGAGTGTTAAGCTTTACAAGAGGGACCTTCGCATCTTTTTCCCATGGTGTGGCTGATGGATTAAAACTGCGCTGACCTTCAAGTTAGCAGGCTAACACACTACACAATGTGCCACCTGGGTTCCTTGCCTTGGAGTAGAGAGTTGCCTAAAACACAAAAGCATCGGTTCCAACTTGCTAAAGATCCTGCACAGCTGGATACAGAAATTGTGATGGATAATAGGAATGCTCATTGGCAAGTGCCTTTTACCAAGACAAATGTCATATAGATGCTAGGCATTAGATATGTGACTGGGACCTTTCATTTCCTAAAAGGACTCTACACAGAGATAAAGGGCAAAAGTGTCACATGAGTAAAATACAGTGACAATTATGGCATTTTCAAACCCTAAATGTCTACCTCATCCCTTTATTGAAATTGCTTGGATATCTATATATTTTTTAAATATTTCATGGCTTATCAGTTAAGCCTATAAAACAATGTTACTTTGCTATCTCTGCCATGACATTGCTCCTAAAAACAGATTGCTGTCAAAAGTGTAAGTTGTACATACTGTTGTTGTTGTTGTTGTTGTTGTTGTACTACCATGAGGTCAGACTGACCCATAGCTGACCTTCCAGTGGGTTTTTAGTGGAAGCTAGTGGCATGGGAGGAGACTGCCCACCTTTTTCTCATGGAACAACTGTTGGATCCAAACGACATGCCTTTGGGATTGTCGCTCAGATTTGTATCACTAGGCAACCAGAACTTCCTGAAAGCTAGCTCGCATAAGACGTGCATATTACATGTGTATTTTACTAAGCTAGGTGGGTTTATTTTTTTTCTTATCTTTATCTTAGAATAGGTTTTTCACCTTTTAAGGCAAAGATTTCTCTTTCATAGGTATTATTTTCCTACTCTTCATTTTATAAAAGTAAGTATAAAAATGTGTGTGGTAGGCTCAGTTTCATCACTAATATATAGGTTAGACCAATATTACATACAATTAAAATATTGTGGAAGATGATCGCAAAATGGCTAGAACAGCACATTAACAGAGAACTACCAGACTTCAAGTAGACTTTAAAAGAGACCATGTTACCAAGGATATAATGGCTGATGGCAGATGGATCTTGACTGAAAACATGAAATATGTATTGTATCAAGGGTTTCTTGTTCAAAACGGCTTTTCTAGCCATTGACTTTGACTTTTCACGTGACTAGGTGAGAATATACAAATAGATGTGTTATTCTATCCAAAAGGGGACTTGCTAAATTGAGTGGATTCAGCTGCAGAATGTGGAATGTCATCACAAAGAAAGAAAAAAGCAGAAAAAACAGAGCAGGAGTCTTTGAGGATCAATGATTCCTATGCCCCTCAGATAGGGAACTATAGGAGCAGCAGCTGTAGCTGCAGCTGAGAACCAGAGAGTGTTGTTGTTTTTTTTTTTTTTTTGGTATGTTGATGCTCTTAAGAGATTAGATACATTTATGTTAGCTTGTCTATCATCTGATTTTTGAGTTAAATACTTGTCTGTCAGCTATCACTCTAAAACTGAGCTTTCAAATTAAGACAGACTAGGAAAAAGGATTAGCCAGCCACTTCTGAAATAATAGGACTTAAAAACCTCTATGAACAATAGAGCAACCTTAGACTATTAGATATAGCACTGGAGGCTAAGCCCTCATACTGGGAAATACAAAATGAGGAGGAAGAGTTGCAAACAAACAGTCACTAATAATTAGAACATAGAATGTACAATGTAAGAATGTAAGAAAATTGGGCATTGTTTAAAGAGAAATGGAAGAGGTAAATATTGACAATACTAGGCATTAGTGAGCTGAGATGAATTGGCCTGAGTCAATTATATGACTCGCTAAATCTGGAATGAAAAAGTGAGAAAAAATGTGGTTGCATTCATAGTAAGAAAGACCATTTCTAGGTCCATCCTAAAAATATAAAGTTGTGAGTGACAGGATATTATCTATTTGTATACAAAGAAGACCTGTTAATATCACTATCACTCAAATATATGTACCAACAACTAGAGCCAAAGTGTAAGAAACTGAAGATATCTACCAACTTTTCCAGTCTGAAATTGATGGAACATGCAACCAAGATTCATTAACAGTAATTCCTGACTAGGGTGCAGAAGTCGGGAACCAGGAAGAAGGATGAACATGTACATGGTGACAGAAATGAGGCTGGAGATAGAACAAAAGAATTTTGTACAATCAATGATTCATTTATGGCAAATACTTCTTATAAAATACATAAATGGTGACTATCCACTTGGACTTCACTAAATGGATTACACTGGAATTAGACTGATTACATCTATGGAAAGAAATGCTGGTGAAGCTCAATTTCAACCGTGAAAATAGGTCCAGGGGCTATCTGTGGAACAGATCATCAGTAATTCATGTCCAAGTTCAAACTGAAGCTAACAGAAATAAAAACAAATCCACAAGAACCAATATATGACCTTGTATCTATTCTACCTGGATTTAAACAAACAAACAAATGAAAAAACAACCATCTTAAGAACAGGGTTGAGGCACTGAACACTAATGAAAGAAGACCAGATGAGCTGTGGGATGATATCAGAAATATCATCCATGAAGAAATCAGAAGATCATTACAAAGATAGACTAGAACAAGACTGAAATGGATGTCAGAAGAGACTCTGAAATTGCACTAGAAAGCTGAGAAGCCTAGATAAAGGGAAGAAATAAGGAAATTAAAGAGTTAAACAGAAGCTATCAAAGAGCAGTTCAGGAAGAGAAATTAAAGTATTAGAATGAAATATGCAAAGAGCTAAAGTCAGAAAGTCAAAAGGGACAAACTCAATAGGCATTTCTCAAGCTGAAGGAACTGAAAATTAAGTTCAAGTTGTGAGTTGCAATGGGCAAAATATTGAATAATCCAGGAAGCATCAAAAGAAGATGGAAAGAAAACACAGTCATTGTATTAAAAAGAACTTGTTGTTGTTGTTATGTGCCATCGTTTGCGACTCATAGCGACCCTATGCACAACAGCCCTAAACCCTACTCTATCCTGCGCCAACTGCACTGCCTCTGACACACCCATCCTGATTACCCCAGTCACCAAATCAGTCCATCTCATAGAGGGTCTTCCAGAATTTCCTTAGTGTGTTCAATAGGTTGTGCAAAAACATCTGG